TCTTATCTGTCTTACCAATATAATCACTATTGCAGCCCTATCATTTAAAATGATAGACAACAGAACTTCTGTACTCCTTAGGGGTTTGATCCTTAGTAGATATAAAATGAGAAACATTTTTATACTGCCATAAAGTTATGAATTTTACCTCTTTAATTAAGTGTTTCTTTACCTTATTTAAACATCTACGTAAAATGAACTCACCTGGTTTTCCTAGATAAGGCAATCTAACCCAAATCTTAATCAAGCTATCATCAGTAGGCCTATGTATACATTTAGGTTCATTTAATTTCTTAAGTACATTATTAACAACCTTTAAAGGGTACCCATTCCAAGACATAAACTTCCTGATGTTACTAAGCTCTGTTTGAAGTTTATCAGGAGTACACAATCTGTGGGCTCTAGAAACTAAACTACGAATCCAGGAGATCTTATGGTTCCATGGAGCAAAGCTATCATAATGGACATATTGACATGTTTGTGTATTTTTACGATATATACTCATGCTTCAAATGTCGTCTGTAATGTAAGTAATAAATTAGGTTTAATATTTTTAGTACTAACATTATTGACAGCTCCCAGAACTGGTCTATCCTATTGTTTAAAGAAGCGTTCGCTATACGTAGACTACACCCTTTGCTTAACAATGGGCTCAGAGCTTCAAAAGAGCTTTCTTTGTTTTTGTAGGTATCTTTGATCATTAGAGTAAGAATGCTTTGATCTTTTGTTTAAATCACTGCTATGTCACCTACTAGAGGTAATGTTTTGATTGGTTAACCACTTTTGGTACTAGTGCATATAAGCTTGCTAATATGGATAATTTTTCATTCCTGATGATGACATTTAATGTCGAAATATTGAATCCCAACACGATGGCGTGTATTTCAATACTTGCAGTATGTATTATACTTTCTTATCTGAGATTAATCAGTGAACCTTTCGGTTTTTAAACATTGATAACAGCATTAAAATAGATTGGTCCTTTAAAAATTACTTTTTTTAATAAAAAAAAAAAAATACCACGAGAATACCACAAAAATAAGTGATAACAATGGTAAGCTCATGACTCATATACCAGCAGTTCATTATTATGTATATCTTGGTATCTTTATTTAATAATCAAAATCAAAATTATACAAAAAAATCCATAGCAGCCATTTGAGGAATTGAGGATTTTATTTACAATTAAAAATTTACATTTATATGCCATTGCTAAATCAAGTCATTTTTTGTTCTTATTTTGGAGTGGACCATCTGTCCATATAAAGAAATAAAAACACACACTAAAAGAAATATTACATGCTACTGACAATCCTTTCATAGCCATCTGCATTAGTAAGGGGAAAAAAATAAGGTGTATTTAAATGGACGTATTTTAACTGAAAGGTTGAAAGGTTAAGGGGAAACAATTCAATTATCATTACAGCATTCAATTAGTTTTCTATTTTGTTTTCAAGTCCTCAGATAATAATTATATATATCTGAAGTGACCCTCTTACGTTCTGATCTCAAGAGGCTGGCAAAGACTAGTACGACACTCTATTACATTATCATTATTTGATAAAACTTAACCAAAGTAACCTAACATTTTTCTCTTGAATCAATTTTCACTTTATTTACTTCCCTTGAATATCTAACAAGTGCCTTGAACTGAGGAGGCATAAGCCTGTAATGTGGCCACAGAACTAAACTACAGTAAACTCTACTAATAAAAATTAATCACAAGGAAAAAAAAAAAAAAAAATGCAGAGAAAAAACAAAACAACACCAACAAGCCAAGCAAGAGCCAAGAGGAACAGATAGATATAATCGAGTACTTTGTAATAATTTCAAATTTAAGTTTAGAATAATCTTCAGACATCAGCTGTAATGAAATATGGTGTCCTTTAAAATAATCATTGTTCAATAAGTGTGCTACCATATGCAACATAAGATTTGATAACCTATAGTATCATGGTCTCAATATTTATATTTTAATATTTATTAGGAATCACTTTAGAATCAGTGGCACTTGCTTGTTTTTTTGAGTGGTGCATCTAAATATACAAAACAAAAATCTTACCAACCCCAAATACAATAATTAGATTTGAATATGAGACGAACTTAATTTACAAAAAATAACAAAAACAAAAACAAAAAAAACCAGAAGAAAAAAAGTAACATCTCAAAACCTCTGAAGCTTTTCCATAATCCCTTCCCAGCAGTAATAACAAATCACATAGAGTTCACTACTATATTAATGAGGCTTGCCACTCTAAAATCGGCCTACTTTCGCTAATTGAATGTGGCAGTAATGTATACTTTAGCACAGAGAAGCCATAATACTTTTACCCATTAACTTTGGCAATAGTAAGTCAATTCCAGTAAATCGATCATCTTAAAGCTTACAATGTGGAACATAAGAATATATATTAAAAAGTCAATTTTTCATTTTTTGATCATTGACGCTGGTTTTGGGATGGCGAGCCTCATATTTGTGCTACAAAGTCCACAATACTAGTAATACTAATACAATAAATAGTCGAAGAAACAGAGCTCATTTAGCAAACAGTTTATCTTGGCTGATGCATGACATACCAATGAGCTTATGGAAGTTTGCTTTACACAAAAGCTGCCTCCAGTAGGCATAATCCTTGTTTGTTCTATTCACTTCAATTCAGTTTTATTGCTTTGAAGGCTATAAAGGGCCAATGTCCGCTTAAAATTACTTTCACTTCGTCACAAAACATTATAAAACAACTAAACAAACATTAAACAGTTAATGCAAAATTGTATATATGACAGTGGTTGGGTGAGTGCAGGGTGGGAATGCCACTCATGAAGGGATCATTTCCTGTTCTATTCACTTCAAATCAGCTTGGAATGCTATCCAATGTCCGCTTAAAATTGCTTTCAATTCATCACAAAAAAATATAAAATAACTACATAAACATTATAGTTAAACATAAACAGTTAATGCCAAATTGTTTAGATGACAGTGGTTGTATGATTGCAAATACTGGGTGGGGGTAAAATTTAGTTATTCAGAATAATAGTTAGAAGAAGTGCAAGTCAAGAAGTGATCTTGAGAAACTCAAAGAGTATGGAAGAAAGAAGGGAGCAAATTGGAATGTGCGAACAGTAAATGCGAGTAAGACTGAGCGTTGTGAGTGGGAGACGGGAAGAAAATTAGCGGGTAGAGAGTAAGAAAATTGGCAGTGTGAGGGGAGAAAAAAATAGTGTTGTATGGACTGTATCCCAACAAGCCCTATAGAGAATGATTCTTTAATATTATAAGTATATTTTACTGGTTAAATGCATCATTTATTTTGAATAATAAATGATTTGATTGTATAAATATAACAAAGTTTCAGATCTACCTTTGTTCTTGTTGCATGGAGGATAACTGTTCTAGTTTTCCACGATGATCAGTTTCAATTCTCGAAATCATATCTTTAATTACCGACATGAAGGCATTGAACTAATAAAAGATAAAATGAATCCGGGTTAAAGGTTTGCAGTTAATTTTCATGCTGGGCACATACTTGCAGTTTTTTGCATACTAATGTTTCATTTCATTAGCTTTGGAAAACTATTCATTTTGTATTATCTTCTTCTATTTCATGGTTTGTTTGTAACTGTACCACTTTGAAAAACAGTACTCAAGTACTGAAAGTCTGCATGCATGCAGTCAAAGAAAGGATAAATAAATAAATAAATTTGGAAACTCATTTTTGACAAAATACACAGAAGTATTAACTTCATACAATGTAGCAGAATTTTGTGAAAGAATACATAGCATATTTGTTTAATGTCAAGAACCAACTCTGTGAGTGTATGTCAGGCTCCAGAAAAATCAGATCAAATAATATTTTTGTATATTGTTGTTGGTAGTTGGGCAAACCCCTACTTCACCAAATTATGAAAATAAACAAATATAAATAACAGCTGAAAACAATGTAATTTAAATATGTATTGGCAACCCCCCAAAAAACTCTAAAATTACAATAGAAATCTGAGTTTAAAAGAACCACATACATAACCAAACATGAATATGCTGCAGGTCAAAGATTTACAGACATTTTACTATCAAATCCTTTAGCAAGGACATGTATTCTTGGTTTGACTTGTATTTGAAAGCTGATCACTTAAGTCATTCTTTTTTTCTAACTTTCAAGTTTAAATGTAAGTTACCTGTTCTAGATTTAGTGCGTTGTCTATGCAACGAGGAATTAAGAACGGGAGAATCTTGGTGGCGCTCATTTCTTTCGTAATTCCAAGCTTTTTATGTTCCATGGTGGTTTTTATTATACCTATGAGAGAAAAAAAGTTAAAATGATATAAACAAATAAAAAATAAATTTCATTACAAGGATTAAACTTGATTTCCACCAGAAAAAATCAGGTACAGAAAAATCTAGTTAGGGATCACACCAAGTGGGTGGGGAGGGAGGGAGGGGATGGTCTTTGACCACTGACACTGGTACATGGAATATAAATCGAAAATTAGCCAGTTGTGGAGTACCATGCTAGCCTATTTCTCATTTCTTTTCTTCCTCTCTTTCTTTTCTTCCTTTTTGGGGCCCTAGCCCAGTGGCAGATCTAGGATAAGTTTTCTGAGGGGGCTGGGGGGGTTAGCTGTCTGACAGGGATATAAAAACTTATCATGATAATGATCCCTGCAGGAACAGTGGTTTTGATGCAAGCAATGTTTATAAATACAATTACACAATACACTACAGTGGTTAGTATAAGTTTATGGTAAAAATTTTAAGGACACAAAAAGGAAAGAATCCATTTAATCTCTGCACAAATAGAGATAGTTAGGAGTACTTCGGTGTGAACCACACCAAGGATGAACCACTAAGTCTGAAGACTTGCTTCCAGTGAGGTCCTGTCCTTCTGGTGGTGAATTGGGCAGTATACCGGAAGACAATCCCTTACTTTTATTCCAAAGAGTGTACAGCGTTTTTCAACGTGAATATGGGCCATATTGCACATAGGACCAACGGCTTAAACGTCTCATCCGAAAGACGGTGCGTTATTGTAACTTGTATTTCAGCCCTCCAGCTAAAATGCAAGGCGAGCAGCAATGGGAATTGAACCGGTGACCTTGAGATACGCCACGGCTCAGCGCACACACAGTGGCTACCACCTGTATAGCTGAATGAGCTAGCTACTCTGTATTAGTCATTCTGAAGTGTGTGCACAATGTCATGAATGAGGCTCTCAGATTGACCTGTAAGTTGACATGTGATGTACTGTACACAGGCATGTACAGTAGATACCCAATGGTCTATTCATTCTATAATTCTATACAATCAATTATAAAGGGCTTTGATTTACTCCATTCATCAATAATATTCATAGAAAATGAATTCGCAAATAGGGATCAATGGCATGCCAAAAATAACGAAAAAAAAAACCCCCAAAACTCAGAACCAACGCGTGTACAGTTTTTGAGTTTACAAACTCAGCGTAACACACATGTACATAAACGCATTACATACATCAAATTCATCCCCACGCTTCCTATGCCGCTTCAATTGGGAACCAAAAATAAAACAGAAAACATTAGATTTAACTCTTAAAATACAGAATATTTCCAAGACATCAACATTATACCTGCTTAGACTACCCCGAAATTAAGACTACTTTCTCATATATGGACATTTTTTTGTTCAGTTAAGGCCCTTATAAAAATCTTTAGAACTCGGCAGCATGTATTGTCTGTATAACTATACTTAAAAATAATATTTCTTCTATTCTTACCAGCCATGACATCAGCATTTCCCCAACATGTGGTCAACCATTCCCCAACAGATGAGCCACCCCTACCTGAGACCCACAATGGGCTGAGGTTATGTAACACTCTCAGGTCAGCTGTCTTTAACTTAGAAAATGATTCCAATTACTTCCCAACAGATTTTAAGACTCCCCAAATGCTGAGCTAGATGTCTCTAGACCCAGCGGCTATGAATGATAACTGCTATCAAGTTTCAAAATTTCTGAAAAAATTTATCTTACTGCTAGGCTCTCAGTGTTCAGACATAGCTGTCGGATCCTGGGCATTATTGCGTTTTTCATGGACGAGTACTCAATCATTCCAGCAAACGTCGGCAAGATATTCAAACACAACTCCTACAAATAAGATAAGAAAATCAATTAAAGCTAAAATTTTGAGAGTGAGGCACTTAGGCTGCCCTTAGTCCCTGGCAACTTATGATATAAGAAATGCAACAGAGCTCAGTCATTTGCTTCTTTTTAGCCATGAGAAAAATTTCTGCTATCACAGGAACTGAACCCAGGACCCAAGGATTAGAGGGTAGGCACCTTAACCACTAAGTCATACAACTCCACTCAATTAAAAGGAACTTAATACAATGCCAGAGGCTTCAATTGGATCTGATGCTTACCTGAATTTGAGGTGAGGGCGCTTCAAGTGCACGGTACAGCATTGGTAGTACATGGTTCTTAATCTCTGACTGAGGTGTCTTACTTAATAAGAGATCCATCCTCTGCATAAATATTAATAAGATCTAAAAACAAAAACATTAATAAAAATTAATTATTAAGAAATTATATATGAATGATAAATATTAATACAATCTGCAAAATATGCTCTGAGACTATTTTTTATAGAGCCCTTTAACAATGCTTGTTTATAATTATTATTATAAACAGTAAATCATTGTTATGAAATTATATAACAATCAAAGTAATGGTACACATATATTTTTTCGGAATGGAACGTACAATATATCTATTTACTATAGTGGAGTTGAAAAGCTTGGTGGTTAAGATGCTTGCCTTCCAATCCCAGCATCCTTGGTTCAATTCCAGTCAGTGTTGCAGGATTTATTCTCACGACCAAAACAACTCCACTCCCTAAATCTCATATTGAGATTTAGTTTGTGTAAAGCATCGTGTGTGTATGTTTGTCTTGTGTAAAGGATTGTCAACTACAAGTAGGACAGTGATATATTCGCTATTGACAATCCTTGGCACATGTATTGTGTGCCTAAATAACTAATAAAAAATAGGAAGCCAATACTTTTATCAGTCTGCTTACACACATCCACATCAAGTGGTGCTGTGCCAAGCTCAACATAATTATCTCCTTCCAAGACCATATAGTAGCCTATCAATCAGTCAATCATTAAGTCAACAAGCACTTTATATATCCAGGGTCAATATCCAGGCCCTGGATATATAAATATTCAGTAAATGCTAAAGACAATGGCGATTATGAAATAATGATAGTGATACTACAATTGTTGTGTATTTATTGTTATTCATGAAAATAAGTGATATACTTAATGTAACACACACCTCATTTTCTTAATTACCTAATTTAATTGGCTAGTTTTAATATGTTTTTTTTAATCTGATTGGTCGGTCTTTAGTTTTCTGTTATACTTAAATATTTAATATGTAAATATTGTAAATATATATGAATGGGTGAGATTTTCACATGAGTATTCTTGAAAATACACAAATTAATCGTGATGTTGGTAGTGCCGAGTGCCGGTCGAGCTTAACACTCGGTTTGGGCCCCCACATGCCGAGCACAAAGTCCTGCAAGCGGACATGGATACCGATCGAGACTACAATAAAAATAAAAGGATATATTTTCAACCACTTGTTGAAAATAAATCCAAGGGCAAAAATAAATCCAAGGAGAACAGAATTGTGCTTGAGAAGTCCTGCTAGTTTTCCAAAGGCTAGACGATCTGACTTCGAACAACGTCGAAAAGGGAATGAGGACGTTTGTTAGGGAGACGGTTCGCACACGGCGCCTTGGGTCGGACTGATCCATTTTTCGAAGGGGGTGTTCCGTTTTGGGAACAATGGCAATTAGTCGGTTATCCAGGTAAGTATTCACGAAATAGACTGATTAAATAGATTGAAACATTGAGTCTCAAATGTCTCTGTCTCTTTTCGGAGTTACTGTCTTTTTGTTTAGATCACATCAATAAGAAGTGATGTTGTTGGTCTATGAGTGAGATACTTACCTGGATGAACTGATATATATGAATGGTATATATTGGTTCATCCAGGTAAGTATTCATGAAATAGACCCACTATTTTAATATTTTACAATTTTTTCCCCTTTTAGCCTCTTTTTTTCTACTTATTTTTCTTCTTGTTATCTAATTGTCTGTTACATAATTGTATGTGTACTCTATCTAATTCTGTTTAAATCTCTTTATATGTATAATTATGCAAATTTCAAATACCGTATTTCATCTTTGAAATTTGCATATTGTAGCATCCTCACCTGTACAGGCTCTTGAATTTTGAATATTGGTTTTAGTTCAGGAAGGATAAGCTGTGTGTACTCTTTTTCCGTGCATCCATCAGCAATTAATAATATATTTGGTAAAACAAAAGGAATCATATCTGGATTTATGCACTCTTTGAACAGGCAAGGTAACACTCTTTGATGGACAACCCGCTGGAGAGTAAAAACAGTAATATATTACTAATCATTGACAAAACTACTTGAGTACGGAAATCAAACAGAGCCAAAGGTCTTGGATTCGATGTTGAATGTATGACCTCTGACCTCTGATGTTTAGTGCCTAAAAATTTTTTACAAAAAAATGTATGCAATAATGTCAAAATGATTATTATTTATTTTCGGTAAATATTTCAGCCGCTCTAAGTTTCTTTCCTATTCTTCTTTCTTTCTATGCCTCTTCCATATTTACAGTAAATTAAAATTATTTTACTAAATAACATCCTTACGCATAATAATATACATATACACATATGTATATCATTTCAATACATAATTACATATTCTAACTAGACTCTAGACCTAGGCCTATGTATACATTGTGTCTGTATTTAACATATTTCAATCTTTATCAATCTAAAGTCGGACCCTTTTAAGTCACTATTAGATAGGCTTATCTTCATAAGACTTTTACGAATGGATACCTTGTTGCAAGCAAGAATTCAAGTTGTCTTTACCCAGTATAGCTCGTATATTTTATTCGTGTGGGAAATCTTTAACCTATATTACTACTAAAATGCCAGAAGACACTTCGGAACATGGCAAGGAAATAATCTCAATGACCCCTCCACGGTCTCTCTCTCCATCCAGGAGTAAAATGAGTACATCTTAGCCAGCTATGTATGAACTCCAATGCACATGACTACTAGCTGCAACATTATGGAATACATTCCCTAAAGCCTCACCATAACTTTTTAATTTCATAATTTCCTACACACACAAAAATACCCAAGAGAATGTCCCCCTTATTACCATAACTTAAGCGCTTTCACATCTGTTCATGTTTCCGTTCATGTCCCAGCTCAGGTTTAGGCAAAACAAACCGGATATCTATTCTATCCATGCTGAAGACATGTTCTGTTAACATTTGCTCCGTTCCAGTATACGGCAACCGTCTATAGTTTCCGGCTACCAGATCAAATCAGTCTACGACAGATTTTTTTCCCAATTGAATGAGTACCGGACAATTTCTGACCAATAAAACGTTACAGTTTCGAAGTGAGGCGAGAGAGAGTGCAATGGCGTAGACAGGGAGGCAAGATCAGGCCTTGGTCTAGATGATGATGTTATAGAAGAATTGCTAATGCAAATTCAATTAAATATATATTATATGATAAAAGTTCTAAAGATTATAGAGACATCAAAAACAGCGGAGCATCGTATTTTCTGATACTGGGGCCATATCCCCCGAATGACTTTGTACATGTCTAGGCCTAGGCCTAGTTGACTTTTCTTCCTAGCCTAGGCTAGACCTACTTTACTACCTATCCTGATTAGGTTTGAACAGTTATCTGATTAGGTTTGAACAGTTACTGAAACATGAATATAAAACTTGAACTGGAACCTGATGTGAAAAGACCTTTAAGCTGTTATACAGTACATTGTTCATTATACACCAACAAAAAAAAGGTAAGTCATTCTATGACATTTTATGTATCACTCAGATTCTTTTAATGTTAATGACCAAACAGGGAGTTGAACAGCTGGTTTACCTTTGGGAGCTTTGAGAGCACCTTGGGGAGTCCTTTGAAGAACTGCGACTTCTGAAGATTGTCACGTTGATACAAGGAATCCAAGTACTGAAGCGTCATTGCACCAACATCATCAAAATATGGAATCTACAAGAAAATCAAACAATGAAATAATACTCTCTACAGCAAAACTTACAAATAAAAAGGCTTGAGTATACATTAAACAAACAAGCTCCTTGAGTTTCTTTGGTGTTTCCTTTTCATTCTTTTCCAATTCACTATTATTTTCCTTTTTATGTGTTTGAAGAACATATTATGGTACCCTGGTCATGTTGCATAAAGTACTGTAGGTACAATTCTCATAAGTTTGCCATATATTGCTAAAGAATTAAAATTTGTGGAATGAACTCACTTTGGTCATTTGGTCGGCATCTGGACGTACAGTTGATGTTAAACTCAATAACATCTTTACATACTCCTTTAAACCATCTGGAAGCATACTTAATTTGGCAAGGTTAAGAGAACGTAACTGAAATATTAAGAAAAAAGTTTTTTTAATTTCAAAGATAATTATATAAAATAATCAAACTCAATTTAACATGTAAAAATTACTTTGCAACAACTGCAGAACAAGAGAGGGACTAATGAGTTTTAATGCTGTAACATATTAGAATTTATAATGGAGAATTTTTCAAAAAATATATCAAAAAAAAAAATTATATTCAAATTAACGTTTCAGAGTTCCATTTCCAGCCCTATAAAGGTGTCATAATCATAAATATTCTTACCTCAGCCCCAACCACGGTAGGACTGAGATGGTCTACACCATCGATCTATGAAAGTCCCTCCCTCAGCGACTCTACAGTATTTCGATCCACCACTGTCGTCTAAAAACAGATTTAAATAGTAGCATAACTTTGTAAATTGAATCCTTACCTCATTCATATTTAATTTGAACACTTTCAAATTATTATTGCAAGAATAAAATTTTTTTCCAGAATTCATCAATGTGTATGTAAGCATGCCCAGAGAAAATAGGTCGCTTGCTGTATCACATGACATGGTCATTACATATTCCGGAGCCAAATAGTTCAGGTTTGGATTGGCATCTGGTGGAATATCACTGTTCCATTCTCTATGACTGAAAGTAGCCTGTAAGTTAAATTAAAAGGAGAGAATAGAAAAAAATTGACCCTACTATATTAATATGCTGGAAACATAATTCTTATCATTATTAATGAAGTTTAATTATTATGCTGACTTTTGTTTAGAGTTGTGCATTGTGATCTTTATACTGTTGTGCATTGTGATTCTTTATTTATATTACTTTTGTCTTTACAATGTCAGATACATTATAAATATTTTATCAATATAGATACATTATAAATGTTTTATCAATTTATCTTTAATGACTTTGTTTTTAATGATAGTGATATATTTTAATGAAATAACATATAATGTATTTGATCATTTTATTAACATTAATTTATCGTCTTACTTGTACATAATACTCAATTTAGGTAGCAATACCTACAATGTATAATTTGCTAACTTTCAGTGTTTTAATTATTTATTGTGACATGTGCATTTTATAAATAAAATCATGAATGAATGAATTAATAAGTTGTTAAGAATTGTATTGAAATTGTTTACTTTATAATAAATTATTATTATATGAACAAAATATTTAAATATCTTATAGTATATAATGATGATTATAAATTAATGGATTGTTATGTGAAGTACTATAAAGTTTGTGCCGGTTTAACTTGATTTGTAATTCATGATTTTATGTGTAATATGACTAAGAAATGAATAAAGGTGAACATGAAAAAAAAAGTTAAGAAATTGAAACAACAAGACATTCTAAACCAACAACAGTTCTTTTCAAAACTATCTATGTGGTGTACTTCAAGCATTAATACTTGTTAAGGAATAGATTTGTAATAATAAAGTAGATATACAACTAGTTAACACCTCTTTTTGTTACAGTTTCATAACATATCCTGCAGAAAGTGGTAATAATTTTATTTTAATACATTTTTTTTAAAGCTGTATAATACCTACCTCCTGATCATTTGGACTTGATGATGGAATGCAGAAATCAAAGCCAGATACTTTCCATGCACCATTTGCATTGAGGATAATACTCTCAGGACAGAGGTTACCATGCACCATTTTCACATCATTATGCAAAAAAGCAAGTGCTTCAGTAATCTGTATGCAAATAATTTTAGGATTATATTTTTCTTTCAATTACAGTAATTGTCAATAATATAGAGGTACACAATGGCTTAACAGAATTCTGTAGTTCATTCCCCTTTCAAATTCTACAAGTAAATTTTCTAAATTGCTCAAAACGTTTTTCCAGTGGATTATCTGGGGTAGTTTATATATCCTCCCATACATTTTTATTTATTTTTCCCCAATTTTAATGTTTCTCTTTTTACTTATGTCTTCATCCATACTTCGTTTTATTATATTTCAATATTATTAATAACTTTGCACCTGATAATTTTAAGCAAAAGTGTATTTATAGTTTTATTTATAGTGTGTATTGAATTGTATTTTTTTTTAATTTTTTATTGTTTGGCCTTTTTAGTGTAAGAATTTTTAACTGTAAATTTGATGTAATTCAGCTGCAAATCAAATATTGAATAAATTGAAATTTAAATTAATGCACCATTAAGCTTTAGCCCTTACCTGTAGCAGACCGTATTTGACTTCCACATCAAACATTTCATGGTCCTTAAGTTCAGGAGGCGGGGGCGAAGGCATGTTTTCTGTGTAGCCGAGAATGTTGGCTAGACTTGCAAAGACCGGCTCAGTAGCAAATGCAAGGCTATCCCTGGAATCAAAACAGGGAATATCCAAAAAAAGAACTACTGTAAAATTGTGACATTTGTGTGATTTGCCCATATACATGCATGAGGATATGATATACTACCTATTATATATGGGCAAATCAGATATTTTTATAAAACAGAACCTGAGATTAATTTTTACTTTAGATTTAATGTTTTCAAGTTTTTCGTTCAGACATCCCTATAATAAGCATCAATAAAGCCTACCCTCTATTCCGGAAGTTGCAGAATTGCAGTGTTCCATAGACAAGTACCATATTTATTAGAATAAACACCCCAGGGCATCTATTGTTGAGAAGGGGGATTTAAGGGGGGTGTTTATTCAAGGAAGGTGATTATTTTTTGGTGTAAAATGGCTATGTATATACTCAAATAAATGCCCCTTGATTTCAAGGTAAATGAGAAATTACAACACATGATTACCGCCAGAATGTGCGTTATCATAAAGACTTATTGATCCTAACCAGGTTAGAAAAAATGTCATTCTACTGGAAAGAAATAAAATGTGTTGAATTAACTTTGTTCAGTCATGGGTGGGGCTTTTATTCAAGGCAAAATAAACACCACAGGGCATTTATTCGAGAGACGCGTTCATTCCAAATGAGGCTGTGGAGTGGACATTTATTTGAGGAGGGAATTTATTCGAATAAAATAAAGTACACAAGTAATGCCCATTGGGTCTTTCCCTGAGTTGGAATTAGGGTATCCCAAAGAATGGTCAAAAAGTCACTGGGTCTTTCACGTAGTCTGTCAATAAGGTTGTCCGTTAGGGGGTCTTCCACCATGGTCATTATGATCTACTTTAAGTGGTAGTAGTCTTCCATTAGATTGTCATTTGACTTCTAAGGCTCTTTAAGCAGTCAGGTTCATCTATCTTATGGTAAAAATAGAACATAAGCCAGGTTTCCATAAAAATCGCTACACACTATCGCCGGCTCCTTTGGCAACATTGATTGGTCAGTTGAATCAGGGAACATTCATGATTGCGTTGCAGACAGCTACACAGTGCAAGTATTGCAGTGAAAATGCTGTAGCGACTGCGTAGCGATTCTATGGAAACCAGGCTTCAGCACCTATATTGACTAATGATAATTTACTCAAGCTTTTGCTAGTAGTCTACGGTTGCATCATCAGGTGGATCTGCATTTAAATTAAGGTAATAAAAAGTGCTCCCTGTGTTCTGTTTGATATAAACCACTTCATCTACTATCTAACAGTAGTTTTTACTAACCTGGATTCTTCCAATGGATGCTGGACAGTGAGAATACGTGGATGGCGTAACCTTGTGAGACGAGTAGCACCTTGTCTTAACACTTGTAGGATTAGTTCACGGTCTTTTCGCAAGTACTGATCTAGCAGACGCTTTTCAAATACGAATACCGCTACTTCCTGTCACAATATAAGTTTTAATTACTAAGAAATCTTGTCAAACAAATGAACAGTAAAAAAACATAACACTAAAGATTCTTTTCACATCAGATAATGAGGTATATCCTTCAACAACCAAGCAACAGGCCTGTGATCCAAACTCATCACCCTTTGGTTTATACCTGTTGAGGTCGTGAGTGCACATTAAAAGGGAGGGGGGGGGGGAAACAGAAAATTATTGTGGGAGGACAACCTCCCAACATTTTGACATGAATTAAAATAGTTTTTACATTCTACAGTGGAGTGGAGTTGAATAGCTTAATGGTTAAGATGCTTGACTTCCAATCCCAGGATCCTGGGTTCAATTCCTGTGACGGCAGCACTTTTTCTTACAACTAAATTCCACTCCACTCACTAAGCCTCATAAAAGAGGGCCTCAGATTATCAGCCGACCGTCTAGGATATGCCGGAAGAATGACCTTCTATAAATACAGTTAAAAAAATAAATTCTTGTTTCTGCTTGAAGCAAACCAGTCTGCAACTCAGGGCAAACGCATTTTTTAAAAGTTGTCATGTGACAATTTGGAAAAAAATTATCATGCCTATTCAGGATGTTCATATTCTCAACACACACAAGAGCATGAATTTTGCACAACCAAAATTAAAACAATTGAAAATGATATTTCAACAGTATTGATATACTTGGTTATATATTGTGTAGTAATGCGAATAGTTATTGTTACCTGTTTTGTAGTCTTTTTAAATGCATGATATATCTTCCACAGACAGCCTGGTCCAGCACTTCCAATGTGACGAGTGATCTCAAACTCACGATTTACAGGATTACCAATCAAACCACCCACTGTACTCTTCAGCTTGTTAAACATATCCATGTTAAAGTGTACAGTAGCAGTCCTTGCTAAAAAAAAAATTTAAAAAGATATTATAATGAGTAAATAAATATCATTCAAGTACAACATCCATTTATTAATAATAATAATAAATAGCACTAACTTGGACTTAAGGGGAATATCTTTTGGATATTCTGGAGAATTTAAACACAAGGAATACAATGATGAATATAGATGTTACATACTGTGATAACATAGAATAACAATAATGACGACCAGTGGTGTATATAGGGGAATTAAAATGGGGAGGGCACTAATGGGGTGGGGTACTGGATGAAGTAGGAGGGCTTGATGATTACATCAGAGGGCACCAGCTGGCAAAATAAGGTGAAACTTCCTATTTTCTTAAACAGTTATAGTGGAGGAGGGTGTGGAAGACAGGCATTTTTTGAGGCGTGTGTTCTGTCCCAGCACACCCAAATAAATATGCCATTGGCAAAAAACAGCCTATTATTCTGGCATAAAAAAATGTTTTTAATGGAGATAATTGTTGTTATGATAGGTTACATATTAGGTTCTGTGCAGTCACAGTGAATCTAGTACTGGTACTGCTCCATGTGTATTATTGAAAATGTGGTACTATATGAATAGTTTACGATTAGAGATACTGTGAGTGTGAGTTAATGTTTAACAATCTGCTATTGCAACCAAAGCAACTCAACAATTAAAAATCATAAAACACCATATTTACTATTTTTCCCATATTATACTATTTTTGCAAACTTCCAAACTTATTTTACTTTACCTATTTTACTTAAGTTATGTGCATGACTGTACATATTCATGTGGTTTGTGGATGTACAGTGCCCTACCGTTTTGTCTAACATGTGCCTCAGTTTTAAAAAGCAAGATTCAATAAATTAATATTATAATTATGGTAGTTAAAAAACAAAAGTGGTTAAAGCTGTCCCTGAATAACTGCCTATGATCAACACATATAAATCATGTGTTAAAGGACAAATTTTACTTTCGGTCTCTTCTTTTATATTGAAGATTTCAGTCAGTTTGTGATTTTCAGATCTGCAGTAAGGCTAATGACATTGATTTGGCAAATTTAGTGTTTGGCTTTTTTTATTGGCAATTTTTTTTTTTTTTTACCAAGGAGCCAAAACTTTTATTTATATATTTTAAACCAACCAAATCAACTAAGGCTGCCCTGACAACCTTCAACTTCGTCTTGCTTTCTTAATATGGCACATCGGAAGAATACCCAGGCCTGCTAGTAGACTAGCCTAGTGCCATACTTGAATGCCTATTCCAACTTTTTAATTAAATTACTTAACTTAAAAAATCATAGAAAATCAGTGGGCTGATGGATTTTCACTTTTATACCATTAAATTACATTTATTTTCCTACATTTTTTGATGAATGAGTCAATCTGTTTCTTAAAGTTTGAATTTTCTTGTCAGGTTCCTAAAATAATAATAAGGCCACGGGAATGAAAGTTGTAGGTTTGCGTCCACCGCCCGCATGCCTAAAAAGCTACCGCACAAAAATTTTCATTATTTTGAAAAGTTCATTATTTTGAAAAAAAATATACTTCGTTTTAAAAAACGGACTTTCTAAGTCGTAACCAGACAGAAAAACGATCTATTCATCACTGTTCACTCGTCGCAAACACCGAGCGAAGGCAGGCCTGGCCACATCGCACCATGATCGCCGATCACTGCTGAGGTCATTTACGAATCAAATGGATCTTTCTGACCAATAGGAAATCTTGTATGTTTAAAGAGGTCTTAAATGTAGAAAAGGATTTGTTTTATAGGCTTAGGCTAGTGTACATTTTATGACTGTAAGCATTGTTTCTTGGGAATGTAAAATTACCAATGGCAATGCCGCGGCTTGTGGACAGCATTTATAAAAAAAATAATGAATAATGAAAAATGAAAAAATGCCTCATGTGTTTTCAAAATTTTTCGGACGCCAACCTACAACTTTCATTCTCGTGGCCTAACTAATAATAATAAAGACATTATTATTTAAATATTAAATATTATATTATATAAAATTAGGTCAAAACCAAATTTTTGGTCACCGCATATGCCTTATTTTACAGTTTGGCTGGACCTAGCTAGTAGGCTAGGCTAATTTTTCAAACGACTAGGCCCTAGGCCTAGTCCTCATTTGTAATAAACAAACAGCAGTAGCTAGCGGCTGCAGTTGGACAGTAGCAGCAGTGAGTGATTCCATGACATATAATATAGGCCTAGCTAGGTTTTAGGTGGTTTTTGTAGAGTTCGTCAATAGAATTTCACAAATAATAAATCAATCATAAAGTAGAGTTAAATTTACAAGCAAAATAAACACAAAACCAAGTTATTTATACCTAAAACATAAATAAATGAAGAATCTAGGCCTAACCTTGTTTTGTCTAGACGATCCCCAACTCTCACGTCTTCTTCGTCGTGGCTGGGCACTTTTACCGAAAGCTCAAATCCTGGTTTTGAAAGGACGTCACCATACAGGTGAACTTGAAGTAAAAAGGAAAAATAAATCGTACGACTACGAAATTATATAAATATAAAAATAAGAATAAAGAAATGATAACGCAAAGTCAAACGTAAATGATTAGATAAAAAACAGTATAGAACTCCCTCCCCACACCACCCCTAAATAACGAACAGATAACCAGGATTGGTGCAGTTCTTACAAGATTAATAGTTAATAAGAGTATATAGAGGTACAAATAGCAGAATACTTAATTAATATTGCACAAAATAAAAGGGCCCATCAATAATTTTCAACATAGTGTATGGAAAATGACTATAATAATTGTTAAGGTAGGTCAATAAACACAGCCTCAATCAACACAATTGATAACAACACTTTGAATTATAGCATTATTGCCATTAATTTCGTTCACCGTTCTGTCAGTGAATTTCACGACCTCATCATCATCATCATTATTGCATCATCATCATCATCATCATCATCATCATCATCATCATCATCACAGTTACCAACCTGAGAGATTTGAAATGCGTGACTACACCAGTTGAATAGGGGGTGGGGGGAAGAAGCCGGGGCCCCAGGGTATAGGAGAAGAAGCCCGGGGGTGGCCGGGTTCATCACATAATCAACAGTTGGTTGTGACAATGAACGCGCGAGACCGCACGCGGCTACAAGTGCGTGGTAGCTGGGGTTGTTTTGTCGAGAAAGAGAAATTTTCTCTGTGAAATGCTTCCAACGAAATATTAACGAAGCTCTGTAATGACTTAAGCTACTGCTACTGCAGACCGTTGTTATATTTTTAATAAAACCAATTTCTTCTAATTTTAAATCATGAATTCGTGATAATTCGTTATCCCACATAGACTTGTGCTAAATGCGTGACTAATTTATGATCACGCATGATTTTCTGCAAAAAAGTGTGTGTTTCATGCATCCAAAATTGGAAATGCGAGACCGTCCCGCACGAGACGGTTGGTAACCAGTGGCGGATCCGTGGTGGGAGGGGGGATTCAGGGGGTTCGGACGAACCTCCATCTGTGAATAAACGTAAGAAAATACTACTGGGTCCTGCCTTAAGACATGCTAACTCACCTAGGCATGGTTGGTAGATCAGACATACTATGCTCATAGCCTAAGTAACAGCCTTCAATTAGGCCTAAATAAAATTATACCACTGTTTTGGGTTCGACACGTCGTAACAAATTATGTACGAAAGTGCCGAGGAAAGTGCGTTCTTCAGGCCTATCGGTTCATCGATCCATGAAAAAAAATGAAGACTACGTATCCAACTACTCAACATTGTTGGACTATAACAATAATTTGATTTTTTCCTCTATGTATAGGCCTGAATAATGAGAAAAAATTACCTGACCTTTTTCAAGAGGGGAAAACTTGAATTTTGAAGAACTAACTACATGTCATTAAAATACTCCTAGTAGTTGGGAGAGAGCTCATTTCCGGCCATTTAGAAATCAATATTTTCCAGGGGGAAGGCCCCCCTCTCCACCCCCAATTCATTTTGGGGTTTTTTTGGAAAACATTTTGAACTCCTCTTTCAAAACCTGGACCCGCCCCTGGTAAATGCATCATCATCATCATCATCATAACTGATTATCATTATTGTGCCGTAGTGATTGTCATTACAGTGTCAACATCATCATCATCATCATCATCATTTTATTATCATCATGATAATAGGCCTAATCATATTGATCGTTCCACGTGTAAATAGAACCAGGTATTATAGAACTTTTGAACTCCTCTTTCAAAACCTGGACCCGCCGCCCCTGGTAATTAAATGCATCATAATCATAATCATAATCATCATCATCATCATCATAAATGATTAACATTATTGTGCCGTAGTGATTGTCATTACAGTATCAACATCATCATCATTTTATTATCATCATGATAATTAGGCCTAATCATATTGATCGTTCCATGTGTACATAGAACCAGGTATTATAGAACTTCCAATTATCTAGAGGGCGCGAGTGAAGTATCCAATGTCAACAAAACCGTGAAAAAGAGAGAAGTTCAAGATTCCAATGGAAATTGTTTTTCGGCTATAATAATAATTATAAAAGCATGTCGGCATGTGGTTGTAGAAATCAAAGACCAATAAAACTAGTCTGTGTGTTTATTCTATGACATAGAAATGTGTAAGCATTTAAGCTAGTCAGAGAAGCGTAGAATAGTAGGTCTTGTGTTGTCTAGGCTTAGCCTAGCCTCCGCCAGATTGATAACTAACTTCATCACCTCCTTGCTTCATCCCACCAAGTTGAACTCACAGAGCCAGGGACCTGGCAAAGTTGGTTAGTGTAGGCCTAGGTCCTACTGCTGTGTCTGTACTTACTGGTAGTACAGTAGTGAATGCAGAGGTGCAAACGAGGTAAGATTTTAGGCTATTATAGGCGCTATTCATTGCAAATCAAATACAATACTTAAGTTTGGTCAATAATAATATGAATATTCAATATGTTACCTGAGTCTTTATTTAAAATAATTTGATTTTAGAACATTGAGGAAAATATAAATTGATGTTGGACCTTTCCATGAGTGCCAACGTTTACAACTGACCAATTAGAACAGGGCAAGAAATACGTGCACGTCCCACAAACCCACACATGTACATGTACATTTATATTGTCTTTTTGTGGGGCCTTCACAACAATATCCAAAGGGTGGTTAAAAAACAGAACTGTCCCTTGTATAATGTAGGCCTAACACACAAGCTATGGAATTGGTGTAAAAACACTAAAGTATTCAGTAATGTATTGATTTTAATTTTCAGACCCAAAACGATGACTGTTCAACTAATGTTGTGTAGCATCACATAAAACCTGCGTACCATACCCCAACAGGATGGCTCAAATTAAGACCTACTGTCGTATCAAACCAACCAACAAGATATCAAGTTTTTTTGACTGGGATGAGGATAAGGTGTGCATTGGTATCAGAACAGCTGGGGCAAGCGGAAACAGCTTTGACAGGACTAGGACTAGCACCATCACGCATGATACAGAATTCTCGCATGTATTTGGGCCGACAGTCACCCAGGCTGAAATATTTGATGTTGTGGCTTCAAACATTGTTGAAGGTTATTATTTTTTACTAATAATACTAATATATTTATATTAGAACAGCTCTAAAGTGCTTACATACGGTAAATTATGTTATCTATACAGAAAATAATATTTGATTGGTGCTAGCCAAAGTGAATAACAACCAAAATAATTCCACAAAAATTTGAGGAAACAAACTCCCTACATCAGATATGAGTTAACCAGTTAGGTTTACTATTCACAAACAATTTAGGGCATGATAACTGGTAGGCATAATCACACAGTGCACTATGTACCCACCAGACAATTAAACAAATAACTTAATTTTATGAAAGTTTAGTAGAAACAGTTAATGGGATAAATTATAATGAGAATTTTTAATGCTTAAATTTTATTTTTAAAGTGACAAACATCCATCTAGGTTTTAGGATGTTACCATACAAAAAACATATTTGTTATTTTACTGTATTGTTTAATAAAGCAACCTCTTTGTATCTTACTTTTTTACAGGATGTTTGGCTGGCTACAATGGCACAATATTCGCTTACGGTCAGACTGGTTCGGGCAAGACATACACAATCGAGGGTGGCTCAAGAACATATGCTGATAGGGGAGTGGCACCAAGGTAGCAAATTGAAAATTCCCATTAGAGAGTATTTGAGAAGTTGTATAGTTTTTAGCTCCAATGAGGAGCTCTAGAAGCACTCAGGTGATTGATTAATAGATCTTTTTTATATGAGTGACTGTTAGTGCCAGTATACTCTACTGCCTCAGGAGCTCTAGAAGCACTCAGGTGATTGATTAATAGATCTTTTTTATATGGGTGACTGTTAGGGCCAGTATACTCTACTGCCTCAGGAGCTCTTGAAACATTCAGCTGATTGATTAATAGATCTTTTTTTATGGGCGGCTGTTAGTCCCAATACTCTACTGCCTCTATTATACTGCCCTCATCGGAGCTTTCGAGAGTACGAGAACTTGTGTAATGTATTGTGATTGTAACATTGTCATGTGTAGGTTTATGTTAAAACATATGCTGATAAAATTACTGTACTGTTATCATTAACATTAATATATTAATGTCTTCTAGCAATCTTTGGCATTTCCTTATTGTGTAGTTCATCTTGTAATTATAATGATATTGAATGGTATTTATGGACCATAGCTTGCTTGATCAAGTAGTTGATAATAATATTAATAATGAAATTTAATTAATTCATAATTATAATTTATAATTTGCGTAGGGCTTTATCGACAGTGTACCAATCTATCCAGAAGTTGACGAGTTCAGACGTTACCATCCATGTTTCCTATATGGAGATTTATCAGGAAACTGGCTACGACCTTTTGAACCCAACAGCAAGAATGTCGGGTGTTGTAGCCCATTTGCCAAAGGTATGTTCTTGACATATTTATGCTATTTTGTTTTCAATCCCTGAAAATGCAAATGTATCTAAGTGGTTTGTTTAAGAATTCATATTTGATGTTGTCTTATCACTGCATTTCTCCAAGCTATCCCCTCTAGGGCAACACACTTGATAATAGTATTTCTAGTTTGCTCTTTGATGTTGTCAATCCAATGCCCCTTCTAAAGTCTGGTGTCAGTAATGTTTCACTACCTCAGGTGGAGTTTTTACTATCAAAATTTAAATTTTTTCTGACTTTGTGGTTTCCTTCCTCACAAAGAAATGAAGCTCACCTAAAGTTATTTTTTTCAATAAAAACTGAACTCAGTAAAGGAACTGGCAATAGCCAGTTTCAAAACGCGCTTTAGACAATTAAGAAACAGAACTATTCTTTGGAAGGTATCTGTACGAGATGGCCCCGGAAATAGTTGCATTATTCGTAACCTTTCAACCCACATTGCTGCAGATGAGAACATTGCTCAGAATCTGTTACATCAGGGACGAGTGAGTCGACGTATTGCAGAGACTTCGTCAAATCAACGATCCTCGCGCTCTCATGCTATATTTACTATATACTTGACACAGCATGATAGGAAATCAGATGTTATTAGGAAGTAAGTGTAAAAATGAATTCAACAAAACCTGAGTCTCATTAAAAGTTAATAAAATGAGTATTTCTGTATTTCTTTATGCCAACATGTTGATCCCATTACAGTATTTTTTGTTACAAAATCAGAGTGATTTTGTAAAATATTTATAATTTTTTATAAACATAAATAAAATTTTATAAAATAAATAAATATAAATGAAAAATGTAATCAACATAATAAATAAAATTGATTGATTAACTACAGATCAAAGCTTCACCTTGTTGACTTGGCTGGTTCTGAACGTGCTGCCAAGTCGGGTATCAAAGGCAATCAGCTAGCTGAGGCCAAGTCAATCAATTTATCTTTACATCACCTTGAGGGAGTTATCATAGCCTTGCAGAAAATGGCACAAAGTGAACGAAGGGACAGAAGACAGCGGAGTAGCAGTGCTGGGCCTTACCGTCAAAAACGGTAAATCTTAAGTTCATGTAATAGTAGACATCCTGGCTTTTGCTTCATTTTATAATTTGGGGAATATAGAAATATGTTAATTTGTTTCTGTTACTTCAAAGTGTATTTGTTTGTCTTAATAGAATCAGCAGTGCCAGTAGCTCTCGTTCGTTGCCATATGACCGGCGAAGTGTGGGAGAACTAGCTAATCCTAGGCATGTGCCTTACAGGAACTCATTACTAACTATGCTCCTGAAGGATAGCTTAGGTATGGATGTTAATGTTGTAATCAAAGGGAAATGGTTTGGCTTACCAGAGGGGGTACACAAAAGGGTGTTTTAGCTGAACCATAGAAAAGTACTGGTTTGGAGCATGGGACTCAAAGGCTACAAAAAAGCTCACTCTTAAAGGGCATTATCATGACTTTCAACATTATCTGTTGCTTTGTTCTTTGTACATAAATATTTACAGGAACAATAATGTGTAATTTTGCTTTACCTGACGTGGAAATGTACTGAATGCTCAGTACATGTGAAAACAATTGCGAAAAAAATCGCAAGTCGTTCTCGGGTGGGACTCGAACACACGATCTCCAGATATTTTCCACGCCAGACTATTCCATGTCGGGTAGTGCAAAATTACACCTATACTTGTTCTCCTGAAGCAAATCAAGTTATTATCAGGAACAATAATGTTATAAGTTTATTCTCTTATAGGAGGAAATTGTTTGACAGCAATGGTGGCAACTCTTTCGGTGCAAGACATCAACATTGGAGAAAGTTTATCCACTTGTCGGTTTGCACAAAGAGTTGCTTGTATTAAAAATCATGCAAGGTAATGTGGCTTAGTGAAATATATTTATAAAAATTACATATATAACTAATTATGAATATTAGATTCTAAATTTTGCATTGATACAAAGTTCTTGTATGCATTAACAATAAAGAAGATCTCTAAACAGATTTTTTCTTTAAAACAAATACATGAATAGGAAATGATTTCCATGTCGGTTTTTTTTTTTTTTTTTTTTGCAGTCGAAATGAAGAATTGGATGACAAGATGATTATCAAGAGGTTAAGGAAAAGAGTTCTTGAACTTGAGAAAGAAATAAAAAACATGAAACAAGGAATTCAAAGTCCCTGTAAAGAAACTGACAATGTAAGATAATTATGTAGTTAATAT